TTTAACCTTTACTACTTCGTTTACCAATCGATTAGAATATTAGGAGCATCATTTAGTCATCCGCAAAATGAGCGCGTGCGACAACGACGTTAGGTAAAAAGGGTCACACTACGAACAAAGGGATGAAAAGGGTTAATTGTTATAATTTGGGGATAATTTATATGTAAAATACTTTGTCCGATGACTATGTCCGCTGGTCATGTTCTATCTGCATTTACCTCCGTTACACATTCACAGGTAATGCAAATACGGGAAAGGATTTTATGTGATGGTAAAATATAAAACAGACACAATATAATTTTTACTCAGACAAAGAGTGAATTAAACATTAGTAAATTCATATAATTTATTTTTTATTTTTTTCCCTTATTTTGTTATCCTGATCTATTACCAAAGTCGTCGATCTACCTACATCAAAATGCATATTGCCAAGCTTCGAACAATATATATTTTTCATTTTCATTTATTATTTCTGCATACGTTTTCCACATAGTTCATTTTTATTTCATTTTATTTTATTTGAGCTAGCGTGAACAATCGCTTATTGAGATTTACAACGAAAGCGAACAAAATGTGTGTGAAATATCGTGCTAGCAGGTCGCGAGCGTGCAGAATGTTAGGAAAATATTGATAAATGGCAGTTTAAATGTATCAACAGTTATATTTTTGTACTTTTTTCGATAGTGAATAACGAAAAAATAGGATGATGTATTATCCAATCGCTACGGCACGTTTTTAATAATAAAGACCTATGTGACCTATCGCTAAATTTGAATCACCAGTCAAATTTGACCGCTGTTTTTTGCAATAGTAGATTAAATATGTCCATTATTATTGTGATAATTGTAGGTACATTAGTGACGCCACATCAGGGATTGAAAACCTCGACGGACGAACATAACTCGTAAATCACCCGAGAGTACTTAGCCGTTAAGCAATAAAAGTACATTGACTGTAGAGTTAAGTCTTTGAAGTCAGTTATAAATACGACAGTTTTGAATGGAAATAGATGTTGTTATGGAATCGTAAACAAATAATTTAAGTCTAATCTTTGGTAATGGTTGATAATAATGAAATTGAATTTATCGCTATTTTTATTCGTGGTGAGATGTTTATTTCAGTTGGGATGGTTGTCCTAGATAGTTCTATGCGAGGAGCATTGTTTGGTAGCCAAGAAGACTTCACACTTAATTAATCTATGTATGTCCCAAATTTTGTACCAGGTGGACAAAATCAGCATTTTACTGTTACGATTGATACTGCTAAAATGTATTTTTATGTCCATTTATTGGTTGCTTTACGAGGAGCCAGTAGGTATTTTTACAATTGATACACCTCAATGTATATTTTTATTACCCCAAAAGTGTACTTTTATTTCTTTAACCCTTAATCTAGTGCCCGGACCGCGTACATTGTCGATTATTTTTTTCCAATTTTGAATTTTAATCACTATGTCGTATTGTGTTGTCGTACATCCAAAGCTACATACAATATTCCCCTCTTTTCAAATAATTTTCGGAAGGCTATTTAATCCAATTTACGAACCTGCAGATATTGTCTGTGAGAAAACAAGACAACAAAAGTCGGATAATAACTGCAGTGCTGCTTCTATTTTCACCTCTCTCTGTGTGAAAAACTATATACGCACTTGTTTCTACGCGGTTGTCACCGGCAATATTCGTATTTTACGTTCATATGTTATAACCCCGACAAGAAAAAAGGATGCAGTTTCTGAAAAACTTCGAAAACCGGGAGCCGGAGGAGGAAAAATACTTCTTTTAAGAGAAAATTTTCGATGTAAGTGATTTTCTGGAGTTCAATGGTAGGAACGTGGGTTGGCACAAAAAAGTCCAGAATTGGATGCCAACTTAGGCCCCAATATGGGTGCAGTTTCTGCAAAACTTCAAAAACCTGGAGCAGAAGGAGGGAAAATACTTCTTCCATGAAAAAACACTCGCATATAAATGATTTTCTGGAGTGTAATGGTAGGAACGTGGGTTGGCACAAACTAGTCCCGATTTGGATGCCAACTTCGGCCAATATGGATGCAGTTTCTGAAAAACTTCGAAAAATCGGAGCAGAAGGAGGAAAAATAATTCTTTCATGAAAAAACGTTAGATATGAATCTGTAGTGTAATTTCAAGAACGTGGGTTGGCACAAACCAGTTCCGAATTGGATGCAAATTGGATCAGCATGATATCAAACTTCCATTTTAAGTTTTAGATCTTAAATATGATCGCAAGTAAAAATGAACTTTCGTGAACATTGCTGTAACACATAGATGCTAACAATAGTAGATATACATATCCAATATATATATATAGTCTACACATAAAAAAATGAGTGGTTGACCCCTGAGTTGCTCTCTCGAGGAAAGTACTAAGTCAGAATGTACCATAGCAAAACACAGCTCATAGAACACTTTGTTCTGATCGCTGTATTGTATAGAGTTTTTTAATGTACGTCTTATAAATTATTGAAAAAATCTGTTTTTTACATATAGAATATTTTCTCAAAAGTCTTTTCCTATTTTTCCTACCAGCTGCCAGTTTTTCCTATCCTCCCCGGTTGTTTCAATATTCGGCCGTGGTGTCTTTGTGTCTCGTATTCGGGACATTTAAAAAAAAATGTGTGTGGTCATACAAGTAATATACAACCCGTGGACGCCGCACGATTCATAATTCTTAAAATCCGCCGCGGAATATTTTCCGTATATGCAAATGTTCCGTGGGGGCGATAAAATACACAGATACGCATGTAGACATATAAAAGTAAAAATATCAATATCAATAGTGTGAAATTTTGGATCAAAAATATATTTAGAAGTCGATTTAATCCTGTACTAGGCACTTCGATGTGGTACAGCAATGGAATATTTATAAAAAAAATCTGAATCGACTGTCCCAAATCTTTTTCTGCAACTGAAATTGTTAGAGGGAGCATCTCAACCCGTAATTTAGTTTTTTGAAAATTTTGTTTTGTAAAAATTACAATTGTTAAGAACAAATGGACTTAAAAGTCGATGATATTTAAGGACTTTCTTTTGACTACAGACTGTATCAATATGCAAAGTTTCATCAAAATAGCGAAAGAGTAAACTTGAGGTTACCATTGTTAGTCTCGTTCATTAGCAAATCTTGTTTGAATCTAATTGGTCAAAAAATCCCTTCATTTAATTTTGTTTTATGTGACACTTCTACACATGAACAAGATTTATTTACTATATTTTAGCACCATGCTCCAAGCCTTGTTTTCATGTAGATGTTTTAAGAGCCTTGCTTCCACAAAGAAGAAGCTGATGTCGAGTTTTTTTTAAACGCAATAAAATCCAATGTCTCACTTTGCAGTGACAAAATTAAAGAAATGATTCAAGTCTTTACGATCTATTTGTCCAAATTGAAAAACTTTCCTACCATCTGTCCTCTTCCACTCCAACTTTTCCCTTACCCTTTCCCCTTTCGACGTCTAATTTTCGATTATTGCCAATCGCGCAAAGAACTATTATTATTTAAAGTTTAAAGTTTAGTTGCCTGCCATTGTTTTCTGTTGCCAAAGTTAGCCTTCCATATCGTTCCGTAGTGTTCTATCGTGTTTGCTATCATCGCATTCAGATCTGAATCGAAATTTATGCCCTCCCGCGCGCGGCAATTAATGAACTGGAGAATGCGCGCGTCGCAAAAGTGAAACAAAAGAATTACTAAACAGAAACAGTTAATCACTGATTTCTAAAGAAATCACAAATAATAGCTAAAACCCGCCGTCGCGGTTGTATAACCCCGATACACCCTACACGAGGCTGCTGCTTTTGCCCACCCTTGAGAAAATCAGAGAGCCGGGGGATAATGGATCGGTAATTGACAAATTGGGATTTATCTGATGGATAAACAATTTTTTATCTGATTTGTTTGAAGCATATTGACCAACACAAGGAAATCAACATTATAAACAATTTTGTCTAAACTATTAATTTTCGATTTTCTCTTTCATAGGTTAACATCAACCAAGTGATGATATGTTTAAATTTTTCACAACTACACTTATTTTGAATTGTAATTCTAGTTCTTCTTCTTACATATACTTTTGTAAATACATTTTAGTTTTTTTGACTGATTGAAATCACCATAGATTTTATCATATCTGAAGAATATTTCCCTAGTACCTAAAACACTTATTTTCCACCTAAAATAGTTCAATTCCCCATTCTCAGTCTATTACTACCAGCTACCCGTTTAGGAAGTTCCTTCTGAATAAAAAGGGTTAAAACTTTCATGAGATAAAGGATGCTTTAATAGAACAGCAAATAGAATAGAGAAAATAGATTCAAAATTAATGGTTTTAATTTTCAAGCGAGGGGATTTGCATAAGCGTAACGCAAACACCAAGCCATCGTGCTTTTATTATAGCCAGAAATATTGAAAGATATTATTACAATGATTTGCATTTATGTCCAGAATGATTCCGTCTAAAAGCATTATTATTGACTGATGCAGGCGGTCTATGTTCTGAATTTAGTGGATGAGGAACCCTAGATATGACTTTGACTTTTTTTTTAAATTTTCAACATAAAAAGTATTATTTTTGTGTGATAATTTATAAATTGTGCAAAACATTTAATACCTAAATAAACAGTAAGAACAATTTGAAGCGTTAAGTAGTCCGAAATTTTCAAAATTGTTAAGATATTAAAAATTTATACATATGTTATTAGCAAAACGTTTGTGTTTTTAAACAATTTTAGTTGAATTACTTTCGTATTGTTCTAGTGATTCTACCCTATGGTGCCCTGTCTGATTAGCTTCAACATCTATAATGAAATTGGCTCCTTTCTTAATCTAGCTTATTTTAAATTTTTCTGTTTGCAATAACGTTACCCATCGAACGCGACAGGGATCAAATTCCGCGACGAATTTTTACATTTCGCGGATTTCTTATTTCTTGGGTGGGCTAAGCAGTATGGGGGCACGCTTAAATATAACTAGGGAGTAACCTAGGCACTTACCTTTTTTCGGAATTAGGCTTTTCAGCAACAGCACAGCATTATCATCGCAAGCCCATGCATGCATCTTCCTGTAAGAATCTCTGCCTTTCTCAGTCAACTTGTCCCAAGGTTTCGGTTTGGATAGAAGTTCAGACACGGTGCCTTGGGATAACCCAAGTACGTATTTGGCGAATAAACGTTGACCAATGTTGTGCACTGATAGAAGCTCTCGTACTCTTCGCGATATGTGTAAGGTATCCAAATTTTGGTTTGCGTATTTATCCATGTTGTACCTCAACATCTCTTGCAATCGCGCTTCCATAGGATCTCCTTTGGGTATCAAGCTATCTCCCAAGCGACCGACCATAGCACCTGGTGGTAAATTTCCTGGATCCTCAGCAAATCGGTATGAACCGGTGAAAGGCTCCGTGCGTCCGTAATATCCACCACCGATCAGGGAATTATTCATCAGTCCTACATCTCCGTCCAGACGCAAAGAATTATTGTTGTGTTCTGGAGATTTTGTCGAACGACCATTGTGGGTAGGAGTCGTTTGTTCTGGTGGAGCAGGGGTTGAAGCAGCACTTGGAGATTTATCAGATCCACCTCGTTCACTCGGTGAGGCTAAGACACTTGCCGCCGATGAAGGTGCATGTTGACGTCTCCAACTACTAACGATTTCTTCTCCTAAAATTGGCCCGAATTGTTCAACATTTTGTAGTCCTGGAAATTGTGAATTGCCCTTTTCTTCTTCGGTAACGGTCTGTGGTGATCTTGAAGATTCTCGAACGGCGGCGATAGCAGTGCTGGCATCTAGATTTGAACCTGCGAACATAGAACAGGGGCCACATCTTATCTGAGACTAACTCCCTAGAGACGATATTAAGCGCGCCCCAGAAAATCCCAACACAAAACACAAACAAAGAATATATAACTACACTAAAATATCTGATATCGAAAAAAGCGATAGTTTATTCATAGTTTACGCGCGAAAATTAAAAACACAAAACCATATATATATATAGATACATGTGTAAAACACTCGTGGGTAACGATTATTGCAAAACATTTTTGTATAATATAATAAATAACACATACATTGCATATTTATAGTACATAAAGAAATTATAACCAAAACAATAACATAATAAAACAATAATGAATGCTATTAAAATTAATTATAATGGCGATCTTTTTGCTCTGCTTTTTTGTTGCAATGTTACAACCAGATCAGAAAGGAGAAGCATAACATGCACTTTATGAGTTAAGACAAGAAGATAACATTATGTGATGAGAGTTAAGAATCGCGCAACTATATGGGATCTATGGCAAAATCATAAAGTCAAAGTTAACAAAAGAAAAATATAAATAATTCCCATGGTTTATTATCTGCTCTCGATGTACTCACCTCCAGATGTCACAACTATTTTTATGCACAAATGGATGACTCAATAATGTAAAACATCTTGAGGTGTCGAGATTTTTATTAGAGATTTAGAAACAGAAAAAAATATAGATACTCAAAACAAAACTATTATTTTTGAAATCGTTGATGAAGAAACAAATCACCAATTCGTAACCTTTTACGATACTCGTGCAATTTACACCAATTATTTTTAATTTATGTTTGAAAATATGATTTACAACAAATACTCTACCATGCACATATAGAGGGATTCTGGCACTTCGCTTTTTATCATTTTTCTTAAAATTAATAATTTAGAAACTAATATTCACCTTCGATTGCTGTGGCTTTAATAGATTCGGATTGGGCAAGAGCTTTAGTTCTTTCAAGAACGAGTTGGTCGAATGGTTTAATTTCTTCTCCTGAACCAGGTTCTACGGACGGTGATCTCAAAACACTGAAAGATAAAAATAATAATTGTAAATAAATTATATCTTCAAAATTTCTTAAATGTTTGCATACATCGTTAATACTTTTAGCACATCTTGTTGTCAGTAGTTCACATATTATCGATAAACTTTTAGCACATAGTAAAATCCCTCGTACTGTAAAATGTTATGAATGAATTTTGTAAGGCCAAATATATTCTCATTTTTTTCCTCGAACAGGATACACCATATCGTAAAGGAATAAACAAAACTAAAAATTATTTCCAAAACCTAAACATCCTTTGTACTTCCAGGCCCAAATACAATAATTATTTGATGACTCCGTTTTATCAAGTTCTAATTTTTCACAAAAGTCGCGCCGCCTCTTTTGGTACAGAGACCCCTAAGATATAAAAATCTCGTAAACACATCCAAAAAAAAGAATTTCAGATAAAAAAAAAACTCCACAGTTTTATGACTGTTGATTTTTAACACCCTGTAGACAAATTTTATAACCAAATATCATTTCGTCGGGCTGCAAAGGGCGCCGACATATTTAGGGATTTTTTCGGCTCAACCTGCAATAAAATTTTCGGAACAAAATCAAAAAAAGCTCGCGGGCTGCTGCCGTAGGTTAAGATCATCGTGTATTGTTTATTTATATATATTTTTTTGTTCTAAATAGAGACGTTTTAAGACACAGATATTCTTCTTGGCACATGTAAATATTAGAGGATTGTTTACGAAGGATTTTTAGTCGGCCGTTCTGTTTGCAGAGAAATTAAAAATATGTTAACGACGGTATTAGTAAAGGATATGGGACTCATAATTTATTTATTATATACTATTTGGGAGATAAATGAAAGTTAAACATTTTAGCATCTAATCTTTAAAATGACTTAATTCTTGTAAACGCTGCCGAACACGGTGGGAAAATTTCTTAACGTGATAATACTTTTTATGGGAGTTAGCAAAATTTTAATATTTGATTCATAGCATTTTTAATTAATATTTTGGATAACTTACCTTCCGTCTCGTTTAGATTCTTCGTATTCTCTTCTCCTGTCCAATTTAGCTTCTAATCTAGCTATATGTTGCCTTTTAGCATCTAATCTTTCTTCTAATCCTCGAACTTCAGCTGAATGTGCTTCTTGTAAAGCTCCTAAGGAAGCTTGAAGACGTCTTACGTTTTCTGCCAATTGAGATATCTGAAATAAAAAATAAAAAAATGAAAATATAATCTAAAAGATTCGTATACAATGTAAAGAATACTGAGTTAGACTATCTAAATAATTTAAATTTCCATTATATTTCTGAATCAAATGGCAATTGATGAAGCTTCCGTCTATAAATAAGTATGCAATTCCAGATAAGCACAAAATAAACAAAGATATTGAACAAATGTGATATCTACAATGATCTCATGAAAAGAAATAATAAATGGCGATTAAATATTTGCGCATTAATTATAACACGTATTTAAAACGTCGTTAAAACTACATTAAGAGGCAACAAAGACTGCAAGCAACTCGATGTTTCTTTGAACCTTTTTTAATATTTGTTTATAGGAAGGAAAAAATATAATTCTTATCTTTCTTAAAGTAATTTATAATAAAATAATATAATATTCACCCCATTAGACCTTTTTATGTGTGTGTGTTAGTACTGATTATTTTCATTTAGATTCGGGCATATAAAACATCATCCTAAAATTCTGATGTCCGGTCTTCGCATTAACGCGGTTAGGACCGGAGGGAGGACTTTTTAAGGGTTTGAGTCGATTTTGGAGAAAAATGGGCAGAGAGGGATGCTTTTAGAGCAGAGGGTAAAGGTTAAGTCACATTAGGGAAATTTTTAAATAGAAAAAATATAGGAAAGGCATGCATTGATGCACAAATTGGTAAAAAAATGGGCAAAATGAAAAAAACTATAGTTTTGAAAAAATAAAGTATAGGAAAAGTGGACAAAATCCATATGTATGTTGCAATGTAATATGCAAACAAGAGTTAATGTACCAGAACATTTTTAAATGTAGAAAAAATATTGATTTTATTACTTTTTGAAACTATGGTACATATGGAAAATACAGAACTACAACAAATAAAATAATGGAATTATAAATTTTAATAATTAAATAAATTTTGATTTTTTTTTCCTAAGATATTCCTTGAATAAAAATGATTATTTTGTGGATTTTAATTTTTTTTTAAAAAGAAATAAAATTAGTATCAGGTAACTATATAAAAAAAATTATTGATGATCATCTTCGTTAAGCGAAAATTTCAAAGTGATCATTTTTTAAGTATAAACAATAATATAATAAATTCATTTTTACTTCATAATTATTTTTTCATTATTGTTGCAATTTTCAATATTATTGTCAATAAAGGTTTATTTTATTTCCATATGTATTCTAATTTTAATCATCCTCTACATAAATAATAAAAATAAAATATTATTTTCAAATTAAAAAAAAATATTGAAAAAATTTAGCTTTAATGCGATAAGATCTATATTTGTTGTAATAATTAAATAAATTCTTCATATCATTTTTTTAAGATATTCCTTTAAATTAATACGAAAATAATCATTTTGTAGACTTTAATTTTGTAGGGGTGGAAATTAGTGTAATAAAAACATACAGAAATAATTATTGACCTACAAGCCCTATAGGAAAAATTTCAATTGATCAAATTTAATAATAACAATCATCAATTTATATCATTTTCCACTTTAATTTTTTTTGCATTCAAATTTATATTTTCAATATTTTTGTGTCATTTTATTTTAAAGTTGGACATATATTTTTTTTAAATTTTATTACTTAATAGTGATGAAACAGTTGTAACAAAAGTAGCATTAAAAAAAATAAATAGAAAAGCATTAGTTAAAAACTTGACCATTACCACCTGATCTGATCTATAATATTTGTTCTAATGATTAAACAAATCCTCGTATCTTTTCCTAAGCCATCCCTTACCCAAAGAGCGCTACATTTTCAACCCTTTCTTTCGCGTAGCGGTTTTCGCGCTCGGACTTTGAACCGGGAGGTGGCGAGAGTTTTTGAAGTTTGAGGTTTGGGGTTGCTTTATAAAAAGGGAGCTTGCTTTTGGGCAGTATCTCTTATTTGAATATTCCTCCTGAATAAATGAGGCCGGACATTCGTACCCCACAATCCCATTCGGAATATACGTAAGGGTGTTTATGCTCGCTCATGTCGTTTGTAATCTGAACTTTTACGTTGCGATCTGTATCGGCGGCAGGGTGGTATAGATTATACTTAATTGAACTTATTAAATTAATATTGGGACGTGTAATTAAAAATAATACATTAGTAATTCTAATGTTAATATATCAAACACTTTTATACATTTATTTTTACCATATGGTTCAAACAAGTTTTTTTTTTTGAAGTAAAAAATTTGATTTCACGGTAAATTGAAACTGTTCTTAAAAAATTTGAAAAAAAAGTGAGAACTGTACGATTGTAAGATATATCCAATAAGGCATAATAAATTAGTGGTATATATTATTTTTAATTAAACTTGTGATGTTAACGTAATATTAAAAATGATACATTACTACACAATGACGAGTATCAATTTTCATATGCTTTAACACTCTTGTTATATAAACTTACAATCAAGTTGTATAAATTTTTTTTTTCAAAAATATACAAAATAGGACATCTCGATAAAATAAAGATAAAAACGTGGAAAATATATGATTATAGGATATAATTTATGATAATCCCACAATTTATTATAATTATCGAATTGATTATTCTTTATTATAATTACATAATTTTAAATAAAATAAAATAATAAAATTTATGATAAAATTTTCGAAAAGTAATCATTATTTTTAAAAAAAAAAAAAAAACTCTGGTCTGTTTAGCAATCAGAAATACATGAAGATTCTTATGAGCAAAATTCACAATATTTGATGAGAGCGATTAATTATTATTAATGTGCGGATATTAAAATGTAGATTTTTTTCTTGTTTTTTTTCTTTTTTTTTTTTTTTTTGTAAATATTAATAGATTGAATGCGACGATTTTGCATGTTTATGATTATTTTTTTAAACAGATAAAGTGCGAATGCTTTTAAACAAAATTCTAAATTTTCAAAAAAATTCAAAATATAAAAACAATTCAAATTTTTCATAAAAATTGATTTTTTTTTTCAAAAATTTCAAAATTCTCAAAAATCTAGTCTATTAGATTTCAAACAATTTTAAAACTCTTTTAAACATTTATTTTTTTGGTACGGGAAGTACCAACAATTTGTCTTAATGCACGGTTTATATATAAAATTATAAATAATTTTAATAAATGAAAAATTAAAAATATTTTTATCAATATTAAATCATTATTATTCAAAAATTATAAAACTCGCATACGATTAACTTTATTGAACATTTTTATTGAGTTAATTTTTGGCCTATGGATTTGCCCCAGCCTTCATAAAAAAATCATACGCTTTAGTTATTCTGCATATTTTTTTAAATAATATTATCTCCATTTTATTATTTTTATAATAACTTACAAAATTATAATTTTGATCGCTTTTTTGTAAAATGAGTAAAATAATCAATATATTATTAATAATTAGTATGAATTACATGTTCCAAAAATGTGGCATATCACTTATAGAAGTCAAGTGTGTCCCTGACTTTAAAACCGACTCACATCCCTTTGGAGATTTTGGCAATTTTTTGCCCATCATCCCTTTTATACACAAATACAGACAGACACCCACTCCGGAAGGAAGGAAAGAGTTTTGTGTCTGTGAATATTTCGGGGATCTTTATTTGATGTCCGATTTCATTCGCGCACGTAATAATTCCCTACATCATATAGGTATATATATATATATATATATATATATATATATATATATATATACTGCTTATAGTATTATATATGAATTATGAAATGGCAAAACTCGACATTTTTTCGGGAACTTTTTATTTTTCGGTCCACACGACAAAAAACAGCGGTACATCGATGTTAATCTTTGAGAGATTAATGCTCTGATGCGAAGCACTTAATTTTTAATGCGTCTCCTGTTCGCACACATATTGTACTTTTCTATAAAAATGGATTTTATTATGTCTGTTTCGATATTTACTTTCGAGAGGAAAAAAATTATAATCAACTAGAGAATGGAAAGATGTCATAGGCATATAATATTTTTTTTTTCTAATAATCGTTATCCTGGTCTTCCTAAAATCTTGTCCATATTCCTTTCCCCCATTTTGCTCGCACATGGCACTCATCAAAAAGTATCTAATGATCACACACGTCCAGTGTTGGAGGCCTTTTAGAGGCCCTTCTTCTACTTCCCTCCAACACCACCACCATCAATGGGTGTGATAGATGTGGAAGGAGCTTTCTGATAAAAGCCAAAATCCCTCGCCCTTTGGACACAGACACCCCATGGCCAGTCCTGCGCCTTAAAAAATAACCCTTTCTGCGAGCTTTTATGCAGATATCCTGCGAGACCATCTACCCCTAACATTTGTGATGTGAGGAGGGGCACCAACACGCTTCCGAAAATATTCGTTTCCTTTCGCACCAGAAGACCAGTGGAAAAAAATTACATAAGTTAATTAATTATGATAAATTGCATGAATCTTAAAATACTGTTTTCGTGCAAAATTTTATAGACTGTCAACTTGAAAGTAAGGGTTCTTAGGAAGTAATTTCCTTCCTAAATCAAAAACAGAAACAAAGCAGAATAGTACATAGTGTCTATGGTTTTAGAGGTGTTTTAGAAGAATTGGTAGATGGTAGATGGTTGACGATTGTTTTCTTAAATATAAATGCTAATCTTGAACTTTTTTGGCTTATATTGACTGTTATCACTTGAGAGCAGCTTTATTAGTAATAAATGATTATAGTTTACGATAATCGATTTTGTTATAGAAAATTGTTAGTTCCTGAAAAATTGTTTTGGTAGATGAACCTACAACAATAGATCAATGCTGGTTGTTTTCAGTATTGACTTGTAAAAAAACAAGTTAACAAGTATTGAAGTAAAATCATCTAAACTTGTAATAAAAGTAAATAAAAAACAGGTCGAGTGTCTATTAGTATCTATAGTTTTGGAAATATAAGTAATTTGTTAGATGAAGGTAAAACGATGCATACATTAGGATTGATATTATCAATATAAATCCTAAACTTGTACTCTATTTTTTTACT